CTCCACAAATCCTTTTTTTACGATTTAAGGAAGTGGGTAACATATGGTTTTTTCAAGTGTTGGTATCCCTAATTAATATTTGAATTTTGAATTACATATTAAACGGCTATAATATAATGGCCTACAAAACCGTGATAAGATATAGGCCATGATTATTAAACATTATAACTATTTAGTCGATTATGATAAGGAGGTGAAAAATGAAACGTGGTCATCGATTAACAATTGTTTCCTGTTTTTTTTTTAAGATTTAGGAGTGAGTGGGTTTTTATTATACATATACGCATAGCTTTGTTTAATTTTTGATACTATATAGGTATAAACAATAAATGTATTTACTTTTTGCTGTGCACACAATATAATATATAATTTAGTATTTACAAGTGTCTTTACGCTGATTATAATTCGATAATATGATATTTTAGATTTGTTTAACCGTCATATATTATATTGATTGTTCGAGATAAAATTCAAATTAGAAAAACGTACTATATAGAATTGGTTGTACAAATTATTGGGGCAAAGCACGTTTATACCAGTTGGAAAAAATCGTATTAAAAAATTTCAACCTGTTTTTCCAATGTTATATTTTCTTCTTAGAAAAACTATTGTTTTTATAAAATTATTTGTATTTATAATATTTTTAAATTATGATGTCAACTATAGTACAAAACTTGATATTGCTTAATTTATTTTGATATTGTCTATGGTATAGAAACCCGTTTTCTATGTAAATAAATAAATAATATTTTCATTAATTATAATTTTTTTTGTGTAGCTACCGAATAATGATCATATGAATTATACGTTTTATTATTGTTACGCAATGTCAAGTGCTGTAGAATTAAAAACGCCGAATTATTTTATCACAGTTAATAAAAAAAAAACCCATGCCCATAACTATCGATGTTACACATTCGGAGTATACTTTATTTGAGGGCATATATACATAATATTTTGTATACATGCACGATGCACCGTTATTAAAAAACTAAAACGTCCTATATTCGGGGCGCTTTTGTCTTTCGTCTTGCCAAATTCGCAACCTACACATTTATACCGTTGCAGTCAGCCACGGCCCACAATAATAGAATAATGCTGCAGATCTGGTATTATATACGTGATCTAAGTAATCATATAATATTATAAACGATACGAAGCAACTTTATCGTACAATAAACTTGTACGTCACGCGACTATTTTATCGAGGTTTCGCTTGGATTTTTCAACCGTTTACAAATTATAAAATAGACTGCACAGTGCTCACGTATAATAATATAGTATGTATACCTAATAGATTCTAAACAAGTGTCGCAGAGTTGTATTCAATTTACTGAGAACGAGTGGATAGTATTATTTATATAATTTATGTGACTGATGTAGTGATGTGCATCCTACCTTAACGAGCTGTCCGTGAATCCTCGAGAAAAAGGCGAGCGACACCGTTTGGTCGGACCGGAGGTGATATGGAGACTCGTTGAAGACTCATTTCATCAAAATTATTTCGCCGCGTTTCGCAGCACTATAATATGCATTTGCTGATGGCGACGAGAAAACGATTCGAACGAAATCCCCGTAAGTACATCGAACGGCGTACGGAGAGACTGATTCGAAGAATATACGGATGACACAACGGCAGCACCCGGTTGTTGCAAGAATGATGACCAACGGAAAATGTCACGGTTACCAACTCACCTCGAATATACAGCACGGCTAAGCGACAGCTAACCATATATACCTATTATTATGGTATTATAGGTAATTTATTACCTATAGTAGGTATATGGTATATGGTATATGGTATATGGTATACTCGCGGAAGGCGGAAACAAAGACATTTTCCGTTGGCTGTTCGTTAGCCTTCGTGGCCCTGTTCACTACCACTGCACAGTATTCGATTTATATTTTTTACTTTTTGCGTTCGCGAGTGCGTGTGTGTACATTAGTTCATGCAATTCGATTTCTAACCAACCGTTTAGTGTTTACGCGTCACTGAGTGCATATTATTTATAGAAACAAGTCTTGATCACCTCCGATGACAAGTGCCACTTGTTTCCTGAGGATTACACGCCGATCGGCCTCTGTCAAGGCAGGATGCACAAAGTCTATGGCTCTATCATGTTCACAATATGTACCTTGTAGGAATAGGCGGTTTCACGCACGCAAGTATACGATCGTTATTTAGAAGTTATAGAATTTATTGTAAGTGTTAAAATATTATAAATAGGTTTGGAAAATCCAAGCTGTATAAGTAGTGGGTAGTACCTACCGGCGGCTACCTAAAGCTATTATGCAAATAATATTTTAAGTTGAATAATTATGAATTAAAAATAACAAAATAAGACAATTCACAATTAAAAATTCCAAAATAGTATACTTATGTCATATATGCATAACTGTATAAGTAATTCAATTATATTATAACATTGGTGGGTCAATATTGTATCATTTTTGTGTCAATATATTTGATTATAATAGAATGTCTCGAAATAGTGTTTGGTCAAAACGCGGGGACTCAAAATTCATCTAAATAGCTTTTATTTTTATTTTTAATTATTCCAAACGGATTCTGCCCGAATTATTTGTGTCAGTTATCCATCATGCAAAATAAAATAATATAATATATTTTAAAATGGTGAAAAATCATCGGACAGATTTACACACAATTATTCCAAACCAAGTGGATCAAAAAGGCGGGAAAATATCACGTCACATGGACGCCGCGGCGCGAAAATGGTAAAATAATATAATGTCCTGCTGCAGTCCAGGAGAACATAAAAAACTAAATATAAAAAACCCACGCTATTAACACGTAACAAACCATAAACGAATACGCAGCATACTATGTATAACATATAATATAGTAATATAGTGGTGAAGTCTCCGAACTAACACGATTCGGACATACCCATAACGTACTAAGCGAACTCGCTTTTCGTTTAGTTTGACGTCGCCGTCATGAGTATAAGACGTCTGTAGAGTTTTGTGGTTCACACCAATCGTCGTCGTACATATCGTAATAAATAATAATAATAATACAACGAACGAGCAGCAAACCACTGCTGTATGATGGCGTTGTTACCATGATGGCAGCGGACACCCCTCGAACTCGGGAGCTGAGACGATCCAACACTATATATGTATATATTATTATATTGTATACACAATATCGTGTGTGGGGTGCTTTAATTCCAACAGTTTTCTCCGAGAAAAAACGTACAGATACACTGTACCGGTCCTAGGGTCAACCAAGGTCATCAGAACAATCGCTTGCGCGCTCACATTATACTATTATAGGTGCACACCGCATTATAAAATACATATTATTATTGTCACGGGTGTATCTATATGCGAGCGGGTTATTGTTCTGGATGTCGCAGGGTGCAACCGGTTTTTAAGATTTTTTTTCGGACAATATTATTCCATTTCGTATGAAAATAAAATAAGCCGGCTTCCAAGTTTAATAGTAGGTAATATTATCTATGTATATATAATATACTATATAGGTATACATATATTTAGGCGGTACCTCCTTCAAAGTTGAACGTATTGCATAAATCCGCACCCGAGCAATGGTGTTTAGGTTAAGATCGCACCGTCTACTCGATCCCACTGCGATATAAGTATATACATATGTATCCTACTCTTTGAAAGAACGGAAAAAAATCGACCCGTGGACGTGCGAGCATATAGACATGGAGGTAGGTGCAAATGCAAATATCGTGCACGACAATCGCACACGACTGCAGTTATAATGTACAATAGTGATAACATTAATATATACCTACGACATTACTCTATAGACGCTAAAAGCTATACGTCGGGGCTACTACCACCTACACCCTACCCCTTTCCTCACACCACGGTCGTGATTGTCGTGACCCGCATGGCGCCATGGACCAGGTAAGCGGTGACCGTCGGACGTTCACGGACCGTCGCGTCTGTGCAGGCGCCGGACGGCCGCGTAGGGCATTATATAGCATGTCCCTGTGGTGGTGCCACCCGTTGGTGACTAACCCGAAGACGACGACGGGACACGAAATATAATTGAGTGTTCCAGCAAAACGTGCTGCGAGGCCCATCGGGATGATTTTTTCCCCTTTTTTTGTTTACCTTTAAGATTTTATATAGGTATATACACCTACACACAATAGAGATTACGTAGGTAGGTGGTATCTATACAAACAGTGGCCATTTTCGTCTGCATCGACCCCCACACCCTCGGTAACAAAAAAAACAACCCCTATGACAACAATAATTTTTGAACAACCACGACGGCGACAATCGTCGCGACTTCGGTCACCAGGCGTGGTACGTCGACCGGAAACAATCGGTGACAGGATAGATAATTAATGGTGGACGCTTCGTATAATATTATTACATATGGGCGTAGGTGGTTTATCCGACCACTTAGTAAGACACTTTCGAACCCTCTCGACCGAAGACCTACGACAAAGACGCTGTGATAATAGACGTATCGATTACGTGCGAAATCAAACCAAATTTGTTCGATTGCGAATCGTGTTACGACCTGGTCCAGAGGCGGCACAAAAATGCATTATTGTTTATGTCCGACAGCACCACTCCGCAGTGCCGTTGGCCGGAGTGTGGAGCATAGATGTATAGGCGCTGTTTGGGAGGCTCTGGAGTCCTAGCACCCCCCGTTTTAAAATCGGTGTTATCGCAATTCATGCCATTCACGGCCGGCTGACGACTATAGTTCTTATATTTTATGTCACAAAATGTATAAACTATTATACGCGTGCAAAGCTGTAATTAAATAAAATGTAATTGTTGAAAAAGGAAGGGGGCGAAATTACTAGTTGTGTAGTGCAGGGTAACATTAGACTAGCTGAAAAAATGCTTAGACTTCAGCACCTCCCCAGTTTTTTACCACCTGGCAGAGGCGTCAACTACAAGCTCCGAGTACGAGCGATAGTATAGTGGCAATCTTAATTACTATTAATAACTGTTATTGAAATAATTTCAAGAAAACTCACCTGCGTTACTACCGGCTTGCGGACATTATTCAGTAATCCGGAAAACTAGATACGTGCAGCACTGGAGAATATTCACGACGGCAAAACGAAATGCGAAAACAAAATGCACTCGCGACGCGCACACCAGCAGCAGCAGCAGCAGCAGCAACAGACAGAGGCTGTATCACACGGCACGAAGAACGAGCGGTCGGCGCGGACGTCGGTACGAGACTGGGGCCACGTTATTGTCGTCGCCGCCGCCGCTGCCGCCGCCCGCGTACCGCGGTACGCACGCGCTTGCACGCACGAACGATGCGTACGGCCGCCGCGTACAATGGGTAAAACACCTGCGACCACTCCCCTGCGACAAAGCGGCGGCGATACCCCCGCGCCGAGGTTGTACGAACAACCGCGCGCGTACAACACCCGGCCGTCGAAATCTCTGAAACCGGTCTAGGGGACGCGCCGCCCGAACGCGATCCGTATACGATTAGAATCGCGCGTGTCGGGACGTACGAGTACGATAATACTACGATTACTACGACGACGACGACGACGACTACTACAACAATGGTATAATACACGACTGCAGTGGCGACCGGCCGGCGCGGGCTTTGGTGCGGCGATCCGTACGATATTATTGTTTTGCTGGACGGAACTCAAAAATTCGACTGAAAGTCTTCAGCAACCCGTTTACCCGACGAGCAATCGCACAATTATTTACAGTCTGCGACCGACGATGAAAAGCACTGTACCGTAAGGGCGGCCGGTCGAGTAAATTTTGGCCCGGCTTAGTAATATTATGTGACCGAAAATATTGGTCCGAACGCCGAACAATAAATTATGAATAATAATATTACACAAAAATGATTATGTATCAATAGGCCGTTACCTTTTATTCAGGGTCGGTTAAAATCCCATAAAACTCGGTGGACCGATACTTTGCGTCTTTGCCCATCCAGCTCTGTATGTTATTACTTATAATTGTTATACTAGACTTGAGAACATAATATGAGTGACGGTGTGTGTGTATACCACCGTGGTACACGATGATGATGATATTATACCGCTAATCGTATTCATATATTATATAACCTCGAGTTGAAAACACTATTATTTTTGCACTCGATTTTGCTATATGTTTTTACAATATTATACTACTATTGCTACAGGTGAATTGCCTGAAAAACATTCGACCCACTGCAATAATATATATAGCGAGGACATAATACGTAATAGAATCGCCTAACAAGTATAACAACGGGCAAAAATAATTAAATACGTAACAACGTTATGTATATAATTTTACATATGTTTATAATACTATGATATTATTATTATATGTACTTATATTTAATTATTTTATCTGCGTAAACCTAAGTAACGTCAACACTGTAAAAAAATAAATATAGACTAAAATGTTTTATCCGAGTTTTCAAATTTGATAGTTTTGAAAATATGCTTGTATTCGTCTTATAAGGAATCGTATTTACTCATATAGGCATAATGCAGTATTCATATTTAAATCAATTAGATAAAAAAATTTAAAAGCCGATATAAATATAATATAATATGATACCTAATCAACAATTATTGTTTTATAATATAGTTACCATTAAAACTTTACTTACTATATATAAATATGTGTATATTTGTATACCATATAGTACGGACAAAGTCCTAAACTGTGGACTTTATACGATATGTGAAAATGTTTCATCATATTTTTACTACACAAAAGAATAACTTTTTTTTATTTATAACAATTAGTTACTTGATCTTTCTTCAACATAATATGTTTTATACATCCCAAAAGTTTACATTCCGGATTTTGCGTGTAACATAATGCAAATATACGAATATAACACTATACATTTATCAACATCGAACATAGTCAGTCAATCAAGATTGGAAACATGAGAAAGTAATTTTGTTTCGTCGTTTATAAATTGCTAAAAATATTAATTCTGACTCAGATTCGGTAAACTGATATAGTGATAACTAACTTATAGACGATTCTACACCAAAAGACTGATATTCTAACACATAGGTCTCTTCTATTTATTTAAAGAAACACAAAAAGCATTGTCATAATAAACTCGAGCCTGCAGTATACGTTTAGACATTAAAATATTAACTTACTTATTTTATTGTTAAAATAATTACAGAAGACGATAATAATCTTATACACATCGGAGGAGATATAAGTACCGATGTTTTGGGTATTTTTTATATTAGATCTTTGAGTTCAGATTAAATCTATTGGTACTTTAGTCTTTAAGTTGTAGACCAGTCATGTTGTAGCAGAACCATCTAAGTTATTTTTATCCACCATCCTCTCTCCCAAAAAAATATAACTGGACATCACACTAATTTAAAAATCATATTTAATAATAGTCATACAGTAATTCATAAAACGTTATAATATAATTTTTAAATTTTAACAGTATGAACTCGTATCCCCGCCCCTCCCAAATCTCGCCGAGGCTATGATTATAATATCAATATAAATAAAGCGATAACAGTGTTATACATTATGGTTATTAGTTATATGTGTTAGAATATCGTATTTGTGAGCAGCGCAACATATGTTTGTTTAAACGTCGAGCACGTACGCAAGCAATAACACATTCGACGAGGAGAGATCGCTTTGAAAAATTACGACCAAAAAAAAAAAAAAACTAAAAACGCCAAGTCACTACGGCGTGAGAAACAAAGGAAACTATTATTATTTGCCGTTTAAATAAACGAGGTCCACGAGATTAAGCGCGTCGACTGCTACTCCCGCTTCTGTAGCTGCGTGTGCTAAATTATTTGTATTATTATTATTTATTATTATTATGTGTGTGTGCACTTTTATATTATACTATGAGCGAAACTGTGCCTGTAGAACAATGTTCGCTACCAATCGTTTTTTTTGATCGACTAAGATGTTGATAAGTCAACGCAAAAGTTTTTTAGTTGTTTTTAAATTATAATTCGTCAATACGGCTTATGAAATAACCGATATAAGTAAAATATGTGTTTGAAAATACTGCAAAGTGGAAACAATTACCTGCACCGGGCTAAACAACATAATTATTGTATATAAGAGGTCACCATCCAAACAATCTCTAAAACAATTATTGTGTAAAACATACAATATTATACTGTCGATCGGTGCCGCATTTATTTACCATAATGTATCATTAAACCGTCCAAGATGTTAAAACGAGTTTGTGAAGGCTTATTAAATACGCGTACAAGTACAAAAATGGTTGTTGAATTCTGTAAATTATTATCATTAGACACTTTATTTAGTTTTTCCCACAACAATTAAATGTTATTAAAACTGCTCTACAATTTATTAATCGTGTCTTACTGTATTATATATTATAATGTTATACACTTGTTCATTTGTATTCCGATTTACAATAGAATTAAACAAAATTACGTAGATGAAAATACGGAACATGTGTTTGTCAGTGACGTATTTATCTGGTAATCGGAAAAATTGACAGCCTGCTCTTTTAGCCAAATCTATACAAACTATCTATACTTTAAATGTCTTTAATTTAATAAGAAAATTTTTTATCATCGTCATTATCAGTTCTCCCGTTGTGAAAAATCCTGTTTATGTTACAATATTTTGTCATTTTTTTCAAGATGCATATTAAGTTACTGTATGTAAACATCGAAAAAATTACCCTCCTTTGAAATTCAATAAGTATACGTCAAAATAGAAAATAATATTTACATCATATTATTGTGTTATAATCGTGGTTATAATTAATATAACCGACTAAAGTATTAATCTATTACCGACTCTTCGTAAAATGGTGTGATGAATAGGTTCGTGATAAAAATAGGCAATACCTCAAAATATGTAATCTTAAGGTTTGGAAAATATCATTGCGTACCTGTATAAAATACAATAATAACGTTCAAGTTTCAAATCCCCATGAATAATAGTTTTGAATAATTACAACAAAAAAACTAAAATCGTTATAGGTATAGGTGTATCGTATAACTATCTAATTTTGTTACATTTATATTCATTAATTTTAAATAATTGTATTTTAATAAATTTATTATAGAATAATGATTTCAATAAAGTTCATTATCGAGGGCACATTCTTGAGTATCAGAAGGTCAAAGTACAGATGAAAATTTTAATTTTAATAAATGTTTTTTTCTGAGGTAAGTATCACAAGAAAACCATTTAAATCATCATGCAAAGTACGTAAGATAATAGTCTTATAATTGTGGAAGGGCTAAATATAACTTAATAAATTATAATGATTTAGGGTATAAGCTTTGGGTGCTTTAGATTTTATAAACAAAATACATAAAATTATATCCCGTGGGCCATAATTGTTTTTGTTTGACGTATGACGTATATACGCATTTAATAAACGTAATAATGTTTTTCTTAAAATATATTATACTTAAATATATAAAAACTCATTTTTCCAGTTTTCTGTTGAACATCAAACATTTTAAAACTTATGAATTATGATGTATTATCCAACCTTTTCTTACCCCACTGTTTAAAATACATGATTTTTCAACCGGTTTCATTGAATCATAAAATAAGTAGGTACCTACATCAGATATTTAAAAAGTATGGATGCACGAAACGTTATTTTTACATGGTAGGTTGAGATCCATTATATATTATACATTTTTTTTAAATTTAAATTAAATAAACCTACGTTGAAGAAAACACAATACATAATATTATACCTTATATATAGCATATACCTCTTCGTGTTAACTGGTCCTGGGGTGAGACCTGTTACATTAATCCATTTAAAAGAATAATAATTGATCGTTCTCAACTAGATATCATTTTTTATTTTATTTTTAAAATATATATAGGCGTTACATATTTCTTGTGTGTTCTCGTTAGGACATTATTCCTTTCTTTTTACATGATATTATTAGACCGATAAAAGGAAATACACGTAAACGCGCGAGAAAAAACACATCGCTTTATTGCAACGAATACATCAGTTGTTCAAGGTGGGACTAATTTTTTGTCTCCTAGTAGGTACCGAGACTGACTATAGGTACCCGAGGTACAAACTACTATAACACTCGACATTTGCGAGCCCGGCCTACACGATCTAGTTTGAAGCTGTCATTATTATATTACTATTGGCCAACATAATAATATATACCCGCAGTCTTGGTCGGTGCCACATTCATGCCTCCCCGACTGTGTCCCGCACTGCAATATAAGTAGGTAGTAGCTATAGTCGA